TTCAGCTGTATGTATCGTGGCTTTTGTGTACATTCATTATACGTTCATGACTGATATACATTGTGTACATATTTTGCATGTATGTATGTACCTATACCGGGTGTCCCACCAGACAGGACGTGAGCTAACGCAGAGCCGGGCAAACTTTAACTTCGCAGGATCCGCTACATGAGGTTAGTTTGAGTCACTCCATACCCTTCTATAAGTACGANGCATCCAATTTGTTGCTTAAGCAACATTTTGCATGCGATTGACAAGTGACAAACTTAAACTGATGCGCAATTGTTCATGGCGCAGCGGACTATTTTAAAACATGCAAGACATGCACACTTACCTGACGGAGGACTATAAACGGAAGGTGGTAGTAACCGTATCTAAAAAGAGAGGCGCGGATAGGTGTGAGACATTTAGAACAATTAGCTTAACTTTCCATGCGTCAAAAATCTTAACTAGTATTGTACAGAGGAGGATGGAAAAAAGGGATAAAGAACTATTAGAGGAAGATCAATTTGGGTTTAGAAGAAATAGAGGAACGCGGGAGGCCATTCTAGCTTTACGGGTAACAATAGAGAAAATAATAGAAATAGGAAAGAGAGCGTACACAGGATTTGTAGATTTAGAATTAGAAATTTAGTAATGAATTACAAAGATAGAAGAGTGATAGGTACTTAGTCTGTATAAAGNATTTCTAAATTAACCGTTCGCGAGCATAGAAGTGACTTCTTTTTATTGAAGGCGACTCGACCCTGCGCTATCCTCTGCTTTATATCCCTACTACTCATTCCGTCCTGACTTATTTGACTTAGGTTCCTAAAATCAGCCACCTCTTCTAATGTTTCGTCTCTAACTCCTCCTTGCTAGATTCTAATACTGCTATATCATCTGCAAATCCAAGCATACTAATCTTTTACCCCTTTATATCTATCCCTGAAGTTATCACATATTTAATCCTTTTCGAAATAACGATTTTTATATATTTTTTATAGACCTTGGATATTACGAACGTCACCTACAAAAATCTATGCCATCCACAAC